AGGGCCGCGCCTGCGCAGCGGCGCCCGCGCCGCCATGACGGGAGGTGGAGGGACCCGCAACAGACGGTTCGCTAAACGAAAAACGACTTTTTTTGTCCCCACTTCTGTGATCAAATTGAGATGCAGCATTTCATTCCTATTTTAATCAGGGAAACCACCATCCTGGTGATTTAAATTCAACTCCCCACTCCTCCCACTTCTTCCACAGGTGCCCATTTTGACCCCACCTGGGGCTGCCCCCTGGTTTCCTATCTAGGTTCAAACACCTCCAGCAAAAGCTCTATTATTATTATTGTTATTATTAAGAAAAAGTGGCCTGCTCAGCCATCCAAAACGGGTGGGGGGCACCCAGACCTGTCCCCTCGCTGCAGTTCTTGGCATGGTGCTGCAGTTTGGCTGAAAGCACCAGGTTTCGCCTTTCAGTTTTCGCCTTTTTTCTTTTTTTTTCTCCCCTTTTCCTGCCTTACCGACCCCACCAGTGCTCAAGCGACAGCAGACAAACTTTTGCAAATCAATCTAAAACCCCTTAAGCCACGGCCCTTCCTTGGGCAATCGCATATGCAGGTTCCCAGGGATTCCCCTTAAACCCCCAGTTGAAGCTCTGCTAAGGCTGCCACCGCAGACAAGTCACAGTTTTAACATCACACCAACAGGACAAGCGATTATTTGTAATTTATTGTTTATTTTCATATACAAAAAGATAAACTTGAAATAGTTCTTTCTAGTTTTTTTTTTCTTTTTTTTCTTTTTTTTTCTTTTCTCCCCTCCTATCTGTTGGGGTGTCGCTGCTTCACACGGGGCAAATACTACATTCATACAGGTTTATTCGGGCGCCCAGTGCAAAGCTGAAGCAGCGAAACTCCAAGCTGGCAGATCTAATTTCAAACTTGAGACTCATTTCTAAAATACCACAGTAAAAAGGAACAAAGATCCACTGCAAATTCATGAACTATGATACAATGTTCTTTCCAAAATGTCTTCATTTCATAACTGCAATACAATGGATGTCTGCATTAGGCCATTTTATATATGTATGTGTGTGTGTGTGTATATACACACACACATCTAAGTGTGTGTGTGTGTATACATATAAAATATATATATATTTTAAAAAAATCAGCACACTTCAATCCAAAAGGGGTTACAGCAACGAGCTTAACTCTCTGTATACTTTTTCTTTAACAGGATACTTTAGTATAACTTTTGTTAACTCAGTAGTACAAGCTATCTCTGTTCTACATTTTTATAGCTACAAGAGTGAAATATAACCTACAACATTTACATTTCACATATCTTGGTATACAAACAGTACTTACTGAATTTGAGCCAAGGACCAAAAGACTCTAAAAATTATTTCACCATCTGATAGAGCTTCCTGTAATTTACACTGTTTGCTTCTGCAATCTTCAAAATCATTTACTTAATCTCATAGTTTGAGTTTAAATCCATTCAAAACTGGAAATCCTGGAGAAACAGGTTACTGCAAACTCTTATGTATACTCTATATATACAAGTTAAGTAACACAGCGTAATAAGACGTAGCTATTTATCCTAAAACTGATATACACATATTTCACTACGCTAGACAAGTCTTAGGATTTTTATTTCTTTAAATAAAGCACAAATTTAGAAGTAGCTGGTAAAACTTACAATATGATGGTTTTAAATGACAAATGGCTAGGGTGAGATTTCGTTCCGCTAGTGCCAAAACATTTTCTTGTGAGTTTTGTACTATGCTGTGTTGTTTAACTGTATGCGCCTAACGTTACATGCAGAAAGCTCTTTCCACAAGAATTGACATCAAACTGTACTTAGGTCAACTTTACAGTATAAAATTTGTCAAACTTAAGGACGTATGTGAAAATATTAACAGGTGAAAGATCAGCCTTTCAACTCTATCATGAGGATCACGCAGATTTCCTAAGCGGTTTGAGCAGATTGGCAATGGCATTGTGCGGACTTATGGCATAGATCTGAGGTCAAGAATGTTACTTAGTTTGCAGTAACCACCTCCCTTAGCTCTAATCCACCCACAGGTCGACTTTTGCATCCTAGTTATTCCATTAGAAGGCCAGCAGCATTGCAAATTGCCTCCTTCTGGGAGATTTTAATGCTTCTCTGGAGTGATTCACCAAAAAGGATCATCAGCCACCAATAGCCATAGAAACATTTGACACTTGTGGGTAAAAAAATGGGGAAGAAAAATATTTTCTCCTCTTCCTTTAAATTAATTACTATCTAGATTGGGGAGTTACTTCTTTGTCCAAGGAAAATGGAAACTGTACCGTTGCATTAGCTATGTAGATAAATAAAAACAACAACAACAAAAACAGGTACTCAGAAAAGAGAAGGTAGCTGGAGGAAGGGCCCAACATGTTATAGGCCTTGTCAACATGTATTTTGCTATCCAGAAGGTCGTTCTGGTGTTTACACTATCCAACATCCTCCTCCTCTTCCTCCATCACGTTTGGGTTTTTGTTTTTGTTTTGTTTTGCCTTGTTTTAATGAGGGTGGCAATCCAGAGATGCCAGTGACTACTGAATTAGGGTTTTAATTGACAAGGATGGTTACTGGGTAAACTTCAGTTCGTTAAAGTTACAGAAAAGTCACATAAGGTATGGCCAAGGCTTTCCTTGTCACAAAAGCAAAAGCTAATGAAATCTTCCCAGAATATGCTAAGGTTTTGCAATAACAACCTCACTGGAATGTTATACACCGAGTTTTTGTTTTTTAAACAACTGGAAAGAGGCCTCTGTTTCAAAATGGGCCTAAAAATGCAGAAGCAGTGTTTTAATCACATAATCTGTCCCTTTCAAATACTGAAATAAAAAGGCTAACAAAGGAAGCACTTTTCAAAAAACACTCTTGATATATATATATGTGCATATATATATCCAGCACAATGCCATTATAGAGCTTCAGAGAAGCCCTTTTGGTTTCATGTTGGAAAACAAAAAAGATTGTTTTTTTTCCTTCAGTCCTTGGGGATCACTTTCCATTTATATATATATATATAATATATATACACACACATATATATATACATATATATATATAAATACCCATATATAGCAAGGTTCCTGTTTGTGTATGTTACAATATTGTAGTATCAAGGAGAATCCAGATAGCAACACTGTTTTTAACATGAGGTTGAGGTAATTGGTTCTTGAAATACCTGGATCACAGACTGCATCCAGAAATAACAGCTGGGCAATGAGAAGTGTGATTTTTTTTTCCAGACAGAAAATACTAGTAAAAGGAAAAAGAAAGTTTACAGCAGTTGCTTTTACATGGAAAAATAAAGGCACAACAGAACGGCGTTATACTTGAGAACAGCTGGATGGACACGGCACCATCTCTCTCTGGGGAAGTGGCCCGGCAGAAAGGGTCACTGCTTTATTCCATGGGTTGTTACTTGGGTCAGGGGGCAGTTTCACCCCAAAAGCAGAGCTGCAGCAACAAGACGTCCCCTATAAGTCAGCAAGGGTTTGGGAAGGGACAGCGCCTCGCCAGGACACACAGCCAGGGCTCGGCCTAGCACTAATTCCAAAGGGAGCACTGCCAACCTGCTTCCAGCTTTCAAATTTCTTGCTTCGTTTTAAGTTTCCGTAGCTTTTACCCCGCTGGCACTGTGCTACTGAGGTAAAGAGAACCAAAGGAAAACAGAATGCGTTCTAGGTCCAACGGGAAAAGCTAGCCTAAGTGAAGAGAATTCATCGTAAGCTTTTTTTTCTTTAATATTTGCGGATTAGTTGGGCAATTTAGGAATGCTCTTTCTCTAGGTAAGACTTTGAACCTGACAGTGCTGCTTTTCTTTAGTGCCTGACCCAGTTAAATCCAACGCTGGAACAACAGAGCATGTGCCGGTGCGGCTGGCCGAAGCCTGGGTACGTGTCATTTCCAAGACAAGGAACTCCCGGGAATTGCTTTTTATCGGGATTCCTCTGGCAACAGGTCCTTACAGATCATATTGTCAATGCAGCAGGCGCAGCTGCTGCTAACGGAGCTGGACCAGCCCAGCTGTTTGGTCTCAGTAAATTCTCCCCACGCCGACTTCACCGCTCACTGCAGCATCGCTCACACATGGATTTTTGCATGGATACATGAAAAAAAAAAAAAACCCTCCTCCTAGTTTACATTGAAGATGGTTACAAAAAGCAAGAAGCATCCTTGGCAGAAGGGATGTGACATGCAAGAAAACCTATTCAACATCTACTCAGCACCATCCTCGGAGCATGTCCAAGTACATCCAGACTTGCTTCTCAACCTGCTTTCAGGCTAAACTTGTTCTATCCTCTATACTTCGATGCAGTGCACACTTAATTTAAACACTATATATATATATATTTATTTTTTGCTGTGCGTACACAGGCCTTTCTCCCTTTTCCCTGCAGAAACATATTAGACATTACAAAAATAATTTGTGGTATAAAAGAATTCTCGCACAATGTAGAATTTCTGTTCGTATATGTAACTAAAATATATATATATTTTTTTCCAAAAGTAAAAAAGTCAAATGTCCTTACTTTCTTCTATTATATAGTCTATTTTTATTTACAATGTTTACCAAATGATATTCTGTATGTAAAAGTGATACAGTTAGTGGGACGCTTCCTGCGTAGCGACTTCTCAAGCAGAGTGTGGCTCCACACTGAGCAAACCCCAGGCCCTTCTCCTGCAAAACAGGCCAAGTCCTGTCAGAAACCAGCACAAGAGGGATTCAATGTGTGTCCCTCGGTTTCTGTGCTGAGATCTTAAGGGGGATTGATATTCCGGATGGCAAAGGGCTGACTCTACCAGCATGGAAATACCCACCAGCAGCCTGGCACTGGAGGGAGCCCAAACTGCTTCCATGGCACAGAACAGCTCCAGTGGGAACGGGATGCAGCCAGGACACCCAAATAACTGCAGCCGAGCTGCTGGGGGGCACTCAGGTACCTTCTCTTTGAAGCAAAAATATACACCAAGATCTTGGCATTTCCATAGGTGCAACTTTTATCTGGCATATTTTATTCTGCAATGGAGATTTAGCTAAA